TGGCGTCGGGCTTGGCTCTCGCTGGATGGGACTCGGCCTGCGAATGTCCCTGGTGTAATTGACGCAGAGAAAGAAGTCGTGGTGCGGCCTCCCCGTCCTGCTCGTGGGGTTCTGCCGGATCGCGTCTCGGCCTCGCTGCGCCGCGCCGTGAAAGTCGGTCCCCTTGATGAGCAGCTCGTTGTAGAACGCCTCGAGGTAGGTCGCCACCGTCTGCCAGTGCACGTAGAACCACATGGCCGACACGTTGTGGACGCCACGCTCCAGGAAGATGTGGGCTAGGTTCGTCGTCGGTCCCGCGCGGTTGTACGCCGACAGACAGGCGTTGAGGACGACGTTTTCAATGTGGTAGTTTGCCAGCACCTTGGCCACGTCCGTGGCCCGGGCGAGGTGCGTCTGTGGAACATGATACCCGTGAGAGCTCGAGACTTGGTGCTTCTTGGCAAACAAGAGCCAGGGGACTTGACGTCCGTTGCTGTGCCACATTAGCCCTCTTGCTCCCACTTCCTCCTTGTCAAGGCAAACTCACTCGTCCTCCATGATCCTCCCGTGAAGGTCAAAGTGCACCAGGTTAAACTGCACTCCGTGTCCCGCCCTCACCTTGAGATGCTCGTCCAGCTCCTCGATGCTGCCCGGCCGCACCACCTCCAGCAGCAGCCGGCTCCTCAGTTTCCGGTGCACGCTCATCAGCGGCCACTGCGCCAGGTCCGGCTCCGGGTCGCGCTCCGCCCCCGACCGGCTGAAGTCGCGCGCAATCACCAGCAGCACGTGGAAGACGCCGCTCGGGTTGGCCTGCACGCTCGACAGCGACCGCGGTGGTCCTAGGGGCCGGGACGGCTGGCCGGCAAAGTGACTCACGCGCGTCACCCGCAGGCGCAGGTTCGGCATCAGCGGCGTATTGGTAGACTCGAGGAGCTCCCAGGCGAGGCAGTGGATGCCGCCCCTGCTCTCGGGCACTTGGGGGTCGTGGTGTTCGACAACAATGATCTGGGCCTCGGTGATGCCGGTTCGGAGCACTCTAGGCCTGAACAGGCCCAGCTGGCCCAGCAGCTTCTCGCCATAATCCCGTATGCAGTCCTCCGCCCGCGCCCTCTCGTCCGTGGCATTCTCCTCATTCAAGCTCTGCAGACTCCAATGCTGACGGTCCGAATTGCGCAGATAGTCCTCAAAGACGTCTTTGTACTGGTCGACGGAGAAGGGGTCCGTGATGGTGGTGGCGACCTCGGGCCGTTGGTTGACCTGGATGGTGACGTGCCAGGAGCGCCTCGAGTCCGCATTGGTTGCGGCCGGCTCTGCTACCGGGCGGCAGGCTGCCGCAAGGCGCACGTAGACAACGTCCATCTCCTGATCCCAGGTCTTCTCGGCGCGGCGCAACCCCGCGACCGCATATCTGGTCGTTGCCGATTGCTGCCGTGGCTGGTTGTGTCTGACCGCGAAGCACCTCCTCCACAGCTGTCTCCTCGTAGCACCGAATTGTACCCCCGTTTCTTCACAAATTTCGGATTCTCTCTTGAGGAGCAAATCTGTCTCGAGGCTTCGTCGTAGTCTGGTCGAGTTCGGCGCTCAATTCGAATCGTCGCAGCCGCAGCTATATCGCCATTCGCAGGAACAGAAACTCGCAGCTATTTGGTCACTACCCCAGAGCCCACAGAAGCACCAGATGTTAGCAACCAACCCAAACCACATTCAAGCCAAGCACCAGGAGTCGCAGTGGCACAACCATAACCTTACAGTAATGCAAGTAGTAAATCACACAAATGCCCGCAGATGCAACATCCAGAAGAACACGCGCGCTGTCGTAAAGGGAGGGTGCACCAGCAAAAAGAAAAAGAATGTGAGAGAGGCACATGAGCAGGAGCTGGAGAAACAGTCGGACATGGTACATGGCTGGTGTCTCAGGACAGGACAGGGCAGAGCAAGTGCCGTCCCAGGTGTGCCTGCCTGCAGGGGTAATAGCAGAACAGCCGAATCTGCAGCTTGTACAAGTATGTACAGTGGGGTGTCAAAAGTCTGGGTACAAACGTAATTTCAGGCTACCCTAAACTCTACTACTATATAAAAACTCTATTTTTTTACTATATAAATAGTTATTAAAAAAAAGGAAAAAAATATATTTATATAAATTAAAGGCTAAATTAATATATTTTAAATAAAAAATAAGTAATTAATAAATAATTATATAAATATATTAAATTAAAGTTAATATTAAAAATTTTAATATAAAATTTATACTATATTTTTAAAGCTTTATATAATAGGCTATATAATATATAAATAAATAAAACTTTATTTATAAGTAAATAGTATATAATATTTATATTTTATATATTTAAAACTATATAATAACTATTAATTATTATTTTATAATACCTTAAAGTATATATTAAAAATAGCTAAAAATTTAATTTTATATAATTAAAAACTTAGTAAATAAAAAAAATCTATTTTAATATTTTTAAATATATATAAATATAAAAATTTTAATTATATTTAAAAACTTAAAAAAATATAAATATTAAAAGCTATAAATAGATTTTTAAATTTTTACTTATTTTACCTTAATTTTAAAGCTTAATAGCTTATTAACTATTATTTATTTTTATATTAAAATTATATATATATAATTTTAAGTAAAACCTTATATAAAAATAGTTTTTTTTTTCCTTTAGCCTTTAGTGTTAATTAATTATAGCTTTTTAAAAAGTGTGGGTTTTGGTGTAAAAAGGCGTTTGTACCCAGACTTTTGAAACCCCACTGTACGAACAGGAGGCCAATCCCTGTCAAAGGCTGCTGCTCCGCCCATTTGACATAAGGTACTAGATCTCGCCGCTCATTGAGTACGCGATACTACTTACTGTATGTGTATGGCTACCTAGATTCGACTCAGCCTCTCTTTCGCAGCAAATCAATTCCCATCAACGCACAAGAAAGAACAAGAGCGCCTCGGATATGGATGCCTAGCACCTGAACATGCGGTAACACATTGACAGAAACACAGCACATGCAAGGCGCGAAAGCCGCGCTCCAGGCATCATCGTCCCTCGATACGTCACACCAGCCCCCCTTGTGATCACCATCAGCAGCGAAAAAACAACAGAATTGAGAGGCAAAGGAACTGAAAGAGACGCCCGCCACGTCGTATTAATCTCCCTCTATTCGTCACTTGGAATTGTGAAGCCTCACTTCAGCTGCCTTTGCCTTGGACACAGCCTGCATTGACGTGTAGACGATGTGTGTGTGTGTGTGTGTGTTCCATCCTGCTTGAGACTTCGTCGTCCACCCTAGAATCAGCCCTTTGATCCGATAATTGCCAGAACAATAGCTCAGCAACTTATACAGCACCTAAGTAAATCTAGTAGTGTCTCACTATGGAACCTCCTATTAGTATGTATGTTCAGAATTTCCTTTGCCGGCCCTGTCTTACAACAAGGCTTAATAAGAATGTCATAAAACCGGACTTTGTCGAGCCCCCCTATTTCTGCAGATAAACACTCATGTGCCTACGGAGTACTTATAGAGCCTGTTATACATAAACGACAGCAGGTGCCCGCTCAAAGACTACAAAGGGACCATCTGTAAGCTGACAGACTTGCGATGCACAGGCGATAATCTAATATACTTTCGCGTGTAACCGGCAGAGAAGGCCTATGTTCATACTTTGGTATCCCACCTTTTGGAAGTTTACAATAGAGGCCGATAAGCTTTCCCACCCATCACTTATCCCCCACACTACAGCATCACCTGCACGCTAGATACGATATAAAGACATCCATGGATAGGTGATATCACAAACGACGAAACTCAAAATTGGATATAACGGACTGTACCTCTCTACCTGCACATTCACCTCAGACAGACAGACAAGCTCCACAAAAGCCAAAGCAAGACCGAAACGCGAAACGAGCACCAACAAAAGAGGCAAAAAAGCCAAAGCAACGCAATAGGGAAACAGAAAGTCAACCAACAACACGGCAAGGAAAACCACATCACAACTCTATACTCACCCGATTGGAACAGTCTGACATCGAAATCAGTAGTCACTGGCCATCCTTGAACACATCACAAACCAGACCCGGGACACAGAACACAGAACACAGAACCCACAAAGACACCATACAAAACACCGGCAATCCCCTTGTTTTCTCTGAAGTTTTTTTTATAGTTTCTTTCTGAAGAAGAGATGCCTAAAGACACGAAACAGAGGCAAGCAAAGCGAGAGAGGATAAAAAAGACAAAAAGGAATGGGGAAAAAAAAAAAAAAGGCTCCTCCCTTCCGCTATGGCGCCGATAACACCCTTCTCTTTACTCGAATGGTAGTAAACAAACAATTTGGAAAAGACAGTTATAACAGTGAAAGAAAGCCACCTCTTCTCTCTGAGACAAGAACAATAAGGACAGGACGCAGGGGGGTGATATTTGAGACAGGAAAAAAAAAGGAGGGTAATTACAGGGCTGAGCAACAAAGATTGACGGGGTCGAATAATCTGAACAAAGCCAGAGTCTGCATGGTTTTCCACAGGTACAGACTCGGCAATATCTCCGAGATGGGCTCTCCTCCCTTGTATATGTCAATGGCGTGTATTTCTTCCATCTCTTGCCATGTATCATCCGTTTCAAAAGGCCCCAACTCGGGTTCGACCGGGCGCGTGCAAAGACAAAAGAGAAGAAACTCGATCAGATCGCTAGGTAATCAGTTGGTCGACAAATTGGTGCTGTTTGACGAGAAAAGAAAGAAGAAAGAAAAAATCGGTTGCCGGCTAAGTCAAACAGCTTTTGGGGGTAATTCGTAACGTCGTAAAGGGGGGCGGGAGAAAGCATGCTGAGAAAGGAAAAGGAATGTTCTCGATATGTACGGATTAGTTGGCTTGTGCTCTCTGAGAGTTGTCTAGTTTTAACAGTAAATATGCAGGTGCTAACAAGTCTGGCAGTGGCTCTTGGTAGGAGATGAATGCGCTCTTTGGTTGCGTGCTTTTGCGTGTGATGCGAGTTCGCGTCCGTCCAGGTTACATGACGACACAGCAGCCGCAGCCTCCTTTCTGGTCCTGGTCGTCCGGAACATCGGGCATCCTCTGGGTGCTCTGGGCCTTTTCGCTGAGCTGGCTCTGTGATTGTGTCGTTCCTTGGGGCGTCATGGGGGGTCGCTGGCCGGGCAGAGGGCTCTTGGGCGGCTGCACGTCGGAAATCTTGGGCATCGTGGAGTAGGACGATCCCAGCCGCGGCAGTGGGCTCTTGGGCGGCTCCGCCTTGAGCGGCCACTCGTCCGACTGGGGCGCCGTCACGGGCGACTTGGCCTCTTGCTCGGCGGGCGGCTCCTGCTGGGCGCCTTCCGGCGGTGCAGAATTCTCGCGGAACACTGGCAGCGCGTTGGTGTTGAGAGGCCGGAAATCCTTGTCGTAAGCATCGCCAAACTTGCCCTCCTGCTCCCACTTCTCCTGCATGAGCCTCTTTGCAACGGTGGGTATGATTTGCTGTTCCGGAGGTAGGCGAGGATCCGGTTTGTAGCTGTTGACCATCCACGGCGGGTTGCCCTCGGGCTGCTTGAGAGACGCTTCTCCGGATCGCGTGCTGGGTCGTGCATTGCTGGTCGAGTCCTTGCTGGGGCCTGATCGTGTCTTGGGTCGTCCGGCTGCCTTGGGTTTCGCGCTGACGGGCTCCGAGTTCTTGCGGTTCGCCGTAGGCTTCTTGGGCGATGTGTCGGTGGCAGAGCGCTGTGCCGGCTTGGGTTTCTCCACCGGGGCGCAGGGGGCCAGTTCTCTGAGGGTGGTACTGCCACTCCTAGATCGCGCCTAAGAGGAGGTCAGCTCATGTTCTCATCGCCAGGTCGTCAACCAACGGCTGGTCTGCATTCGTCTTGCAGTATTCGTCCACTGACCTTGGCAACAGGTATCCTCGAGCCCCCCTTGGCATTCGCTGCAGCAGAAGCACTGTTTTCCTGTTCTTCCACAACCTCATCCGGAACTTTGAAATCCCAAGGCGATGCTGGGGCGTCTCCAGAGTCTTCCTGCTTAGGCCGGACCTCTGCTGCATCGGTGCCCCTCCGGGCGCTCTTGTCTCGTCGCTGCTTGCTGGTGGCCCGTGACTTGGGGATGAAGCCAGCTGCCTGCAGCTCCTCGCTTTCTATCTGGGCCAACTTGTCACGGTGTATCCATTTCGACTCGACCTCGGGGACAGTGGAATCCGTGCGGCCGCGGTGCGTAAAGTCGTCCGTCTCGGGCTCGCCGGTCGACCAGTCCGACCGGATGTTGTCGAACTCGACGGGCGACTGAACGCCGCCCTCGGCATGTGCATCCCACGGTGCGCTGGCTCGGTGGTCATCGTGCATCTTCTGCGTCCTGCCGTCCAACCGTGAGTCGTAGCGGTTGCTGGAGTTTCCGTTGAGCCGCGGTGCTTCGTCGTCGTAGTAGCCGGCACCAGATTGGTTATACGCCTCCTAGGACAGCCCCCGGATTAGTCGACAATTCTTCCCCAGCATTCCAATCAGGAGGCCCGTCAAACCATGTCATGCGGCCATGCAGCGCCTCGCAGGATAGGCCGTGCAGCGCACCAGATGGGGGGAACGGAAGATATGACAATAAGAAAACAAGAAGAAAAAAAACGATGATCAGTGTCAGACTTACCTCACGTTGGTCCCGGTACCTCCACGATGATTCATCTCCATGGCTGCTGCTCGGTGGCGTCAGGGCTGTGGGAGCGCCCCGAGCCGCTGTAATGGCAGCCATAGCAGTAGCCGAGCTGCGTGTGGATGGACTCGATGTAATGAACCCGGTAGTTCCCCCCTTTTCGACGGCAGATGCGGTATCGGCTCGAATGTGGACGTGCGGAGGCAAAGATGAAAAGGCAGCGCACAGAAAAATGAATAAAAACGGTTGGATCGAATGTCAAGATGAGAATGAAGAGAAGAAAAAATTATGGTAGTGGCGGTCAAAGCCGGCCGTCCGTCCTGTCGCGTACGGCCAAAAAGTCACCAAGCCTCGTGGAGTCGGTTTGTCGCGATCCCCTGAGACATGGGGTAATATTTTTTTTCTCGTTTCTTTTTCGGCTTCTTTTTTTCCTTCCCGTGTCTGGATAACGAGTGAAGGGGGATCGGGCGATGGGCGGGTGGCAGCACGCAGCGAGGAGCTCTCTGGACGACGCAATGGGAGTCGAGCTGGCGGGCGAGCAACGCCGCAGTGAGCCAGTCGAGCAGCTGCAGAGAGAAGGGAAGAGCAAACGCACGCAAGAGCCGGCCGGTGGTGATATTGAGTCGTTGCGTTGCAGCACTATGTATTACCGTAGTGCAAAGCACAGCAAGAGTCTGGCAATCTCGGAGAAGGGGGAGGAAGCCGGGCTAGAGGCACAAGTTGGCGATGGACGTTGCAGGAGGCGGCTGTGGTTGGCTGGCGGGCTGCCTGCTTAACCGCCTCTGGCTGTAGCGAGCAGCGCTACGGGCGGTGCGTCTGCCGGGGGGCGCTGGGCTGGAGTACGCGAGGGTACTCGAGAGGGCCGCGATCGCGATACGGCGGCTGGGGTACCTGTTTCGTACCCGCGCACGACGAGGCCAGAAGCAGACAGCTCTCCCCACGATGACCAGACTTTGGCTCGACGGTTATTTCATGGCCGGCTGCCCTTTTCAATGCACTCCAGGGTTTCTGCTGCAAAGCCCGGCAAAGCCGCGCTCTGGAGCGACTCGCCCGCCACGCAAAGTCTGTCACTGGCCTGTTGGCCTGGGGGCTTGTCCAGGCCTTTGGCCCACCCGCTCATTTGCCAGCAGGGGCGCCAGGTCGGTTCGGGTGATGTCGTCGACCAGGGTTGATATAACCAGTGGAACTTCAAGATGATGGCCTGGCCAAGAGCGTTCTCTGCAGTCCGGGATGCTTCCCTTGTCTCTTCTCTTCTTCTTTCTTCTTCTTCTTTTCTTTTCCAGGTTTTTCTGCTGTCATGTGATGGATAGGGCTCAGATGGAAGCAGGCAGAGAAGATCCAGCAGTCTGGCGCAGGTTCCAAGGTCCGGGCATCGCGACGAGGCCAAGACCCCAAAATTGGCTGCCACAGGGGCCTGTCGCCCGTTTCCAGCGAGCATGGACCCCTGCTGAACTCTGATGTGTGCATAGCACTGGACGTCTGGTGGTGGTGCGGTGGCAGTATTATTGGACGGCACCGGCATGTTACGAGCAGGCTGGATATTGCACGGAACCTCAGTCACCATCACCCGTCTCAGAATCTCAAGTCACATTCGTCACAGCATCCAACAGCAGCCAGAGCCCGAGTGAAGCATCACCGACTGGATATCTATAATGGCTGCTCTCGAGCAGCAAGCGTTGAACCAGCTCTGCCTGTATCTAGGTACCTACTCGTAGGTATGTACTACGTATGTACACGCAGCCGTGGCGACTGCCGTATTGCCCCAGACGACAAGGTCAGCAGCCCGGGCCAAGCGAGTGTGCATGTACGGAGTATTCGTACCTCTTCCCGTGAGTGTCTGCATGGCTGGGGCTGCATGGGAGTGCCTGCAAAGGTTTTATCGATACAACCAGTCCGAGCCGCGGTCAGCTCTCCAGGTCGTCTGCGTATCGATACGATTGAAGTTCTTGTCGCGCTGAATTGCATAACGAGTACTACCTACTAAGGTACAGAGAACCTGAGTACCCCTTCGAGCGAGGAAGGCGGCTCACAGGAGGAAGGAGGAAAGGGGGCAGGATGACATGAGCATGGACCATCAGATACGCGAACGGCAATTCGCCTCCTCCTCCTTCTCCTCCTCATCATATCCTCACCACAGCCTCATGCACCAAGGATCCAGGAGCCATGATTCGTCACGCCGAAACCAAGAGCTCGCAAAGCAAAGCATTGCAACAAGGACAGTGAACAGGGCCGAGAGCACAAAGGGAGCACGTCTGCTTGTCGTCTTATCCCCCTTGGCCTGCCGAGACCAAAAGAGAGCGAAGCTGCGGCACTTCGCATCAACTAGTGAGTGGCTTGGGAGGCAAGCAGATACATATAGTACGATGCCGCACAATTCACAGTCTGTGCGACCGCCGATCCGTCACATGCGGTGAGCGTACGAGCCCGTCTTTGAGGCTGCCATTGTGGTATCATGTATGGTGGCATCTGCTGACGATGCCACAGAACCAATTCATGCTCTTGCAACACCATGGAAGCTTTTGCGAGTCACTTTCAGTCCGGCAATTGCACTTGTCCTTGGTACATGTGCTTGATCCGCCTGCATGTTCCCTCACCACACGCTCATTGCCTACGCCAGGGTGCCCGGGTCATGTCGGATGAAACGCCATCGTGAGCATCGTGCCGCCAAACAGACGCGGTTGAGCCAGCCTCAACTGACAACCAGACGGCCCAAACGCCTCTCTATGCTTAGTTCGAGGCCTGACATGCCCTGAAACCGTCCTTTCAGCCACGGTGGGGAATTTGCTGCTCGACACACATTCACCGCAGGCAGGCAGTGGACGGGGAAGACGGCAAGCATGTGCATATGCGAGCACACGGACGGTGGCAGCCAGCGAAAGCTGAAAACCGCGTGACAGCCGTGCAGAGTGGCTGGCTCACTTGATACTTGTAGTATCCAGGATGGCAATCCTCGCGGGGCAGGATTGTTGTGATGCCGGGTGCGGAGTATCCCTTGGACCTCCATCGAATGTCACCCCAAGTGGTCCTCGATATCGAGCGTGCATATCTTTCCGGAGATCAGACGACGCAGCCCAGCATGCGTATGAACGCGTGTGTACCGTGCTCGGCTGCTTTGAAAATCATGTCTAGATGCTCTCTCGAGACGATGGGGGAGGACAGCATCTGGGCTCTAATCTCAGGCCACATACACGAGAAATTGCAGAGGGCGACGGGCGGTGATACACGTGGGAAGATGACCTCATCACGCTGCATGCTCATATTTCGCGCCTATTTTTGGACAGGGCTGGTGGAAGTTGACGGGCTGAGGTTGGCAGAGTGGCTCGAGGAAGCAAACAATTGATTTCAGAGGAATCGCCTGGCTCTTACATGCAAATCCCATGTACGAAAGCCATCGGTGTAGAGGGAGCTACACAGCGAGAGGCAGAGCGATGCCCTTGGCTCCAAAGGCAGCCAATCAAGCGCCAACGGCCTGTATGCTGTGCTACCAAGCTCATGTTCGAAGGCCCAAGTTAGCTGATCGAATCAACTCGTCGTCTGCAATGCTGGCCAGAGTCCTTGCAGCGTCCTGACAACGATGCATCAATCTCTCCCGTGGGAACAGGTATATAAATTCGTCCCGTCGTCTTCCGCTTTTCTCCTGGGAGAGCAGACATCGGCTTGCTTATCAGCAGATCAAAGAGTCAGTCCGCTCGTTTTTTTCTTGGTCAAGCTCCCCTGGAAGACAGCTCCTTGCTCCCACAATCCACCATAACTCTCATGGAGCCCCCAAAGTTGCGCAAGACACGGATTGTCTGCATCTCCGACACCCACAACTGCAACGTCAAGCTCCCCCCTGGCGACGTTTTGATCCATGCTGGGGACCTCACCAACAAGGGGAGCATCTCCGAGGTAAGCCGTCGCCTTTTTGCCGGTCTCTAGTCCGGCCTTCACGTCTGGCGTTCTTGACGTCACCACGTCTGTGCATTGGCTGACATATGATTGCGCCAAATTGAAGCTCTCTCGGGCAGTAAAATGGCTTGAAGAGGCCGACTTCGAAGCCAAGATTGTCGTGGCAGGTAAGTGATGATGTGTCGCAAAGTGATTGACGATGTGAACTGTGATGCTGATTATCAGTAGGCAACCACGACGTCACGCTGGATGAAGACTTTTACTTTCATCACGGCGACCACTTCCACAACAAGGTTAAGCAGAACCCAGCAGACTGCATCAACCTGCTCGCCTCGTCGCCATCCCTCACCTACCTGTGCCATGATTCGGCCACCATCCGTCTCAAGTCGCCCACGGGCCCGCATACCGAATTCACCGTCTTTGGCTCTCCATACTCTCCTCGCAGCGGCCTATGGGCGTTTTACTATGAGACACCGGCCTCTCAGGGCGGCACCGCTGCTGACCTCACTTCGCTGTGGGAACTGATCCCGCTCGAGACGGATATTGTGGTGACGCACACGCCGCCACGTACGCACTGCGATCAGCCCGGCGGTCAGCGGTCTGCCGGCTGCGAGGCCCTACGGCAGGCGCTCTGGAGAGTAAGACCCAAGCTAGCTGTCTGCGGGCACATCCACGACGGGCGAGGCGCGGAGCGAGTGCTCTGGGATCTCAAGAACGCGTCCAAGCCGTATGCAGAGACGGCCGCCATTCCGTGGGAGGATCCGGGCGCGGGCAACAACAAGATGAGCTTGGTCGACCTCACGGGCAAGTCTGGCAAGGTGCCGGCCCTCGCAAACGACGGCTCGCACCCGGGCCGGCCTAGCTATCAGGTCGACCAACAGACGGCTTCCACGCCAGCTCCCGCGGGGCCATATTCGGAGGAGTCATCACAGCAGGGCTCTAGCGTCGCTGCCCAAGAGCGAGGCGGCGGTGACGGCGATGGCGGTCCGGTGGGCTATGGGGGTGATCCGGAGTCTGAGGACTGCGATCGCGAGGCGTTGGCGGGGAGGCAGGGCCGCAAGGAGACGTGCATTGTGAATGCAGCGATTATGAAGGGAAGCTATCCGCATGTTGAGGGAAAGCAGTTTAGCAAGCCCATCGTGGTGGACTTGTATCTGCCTGTGTGGGAGGACTGAGCTTGATGAGCTTGAGAAAGCTTGACGAGCGACGAGCCTAGAGCCGAAGCTGAAGAGGCTGAGTGAAGCCTGAGGAAGAAGGATGAACAGTGTAAGGGAGAGAGCAGACGGGGTGGTGACGGGAACAGCATCGAGCGGCTGGGAGCATGTGATGGGTCAGCGGGAGTAGTGCGTTTGTTGCATGTAGCATACTGTAAAGATACGCCGTGGCGTCATCTACTTTGCTCGAGATACTGCGAAAGAAGTGATGTACCTGTCGGCACGCCCTCATGACATGGAGATGGGTGGGCAGATGCCAGCAAGCCAGCCATTGACGAATGAAGGGGATGAAGACGCACCCCGTGACAGGGGTCGGGACGGTGACAGCAAAGCAAGTAATCAATCGATCAATACAGATCATTCTGAAGCAAAAGTTGTAGCTGACAAGTCGGCCAATCTGTCTAATAGCAGACTTGGGATGATAAGTCAGACCCAAGGCGACAGCACATCCCATCCATACCATTTCATCTAGTTCAAGTTTAGACGAATCGTGGATCGAGGTAATTTAGGGTGTCCGATGCAGGGCCAGCGCATTATGTCCACCTTGTCTTGACATGATGCCCACCATCTTTTTCTTTCATCTAATACCGTCTTTGCCCGGGCTAGTATTACTATTACTACTGCCTATCGGCCTGGTACATTGGCGACGATGAGCCAGGAAGTACCTGGACTTGGACTTGGACTTGGACCTGGGCTTGATAAGGCCATGTACTGTATGCACTTGTGTGCTTTGAACCCCTGCGTCTGCATCCATCCATCCATGGCTATGGGTTTATGGCTACCTTACGGAAGATGTGTTGGTGTTGGTGTTGGTGGTGGTGGTGGTGGTTTGTGAAATCACATTTGGGGGCTTTGCATTGCATGCGGTTGCCTAAGGCGCCTGCTGCTACCTAGTACCTTGGTACTACCTTATGTATTACTGTAAGTGCTTTTGTTGGTGGTTTGGTGCCGAAGTAACCCTCTTGCAGGAGAGAAGAAGAGGTTAGGTATTTAGTAAAGGGGAAGGGGGGGAGGAGAGGATGGAAAGGCACAAGGGGCAGGTGGATTGGGGTGTGGTGGTTGATTTCTTGAGTGGTCGGGTATGTACGAGTAATAGTTGATTGTCTATTATAGTGGTGGTAGTATTAGTATTGTAGTGAGGCTATTGGGATGGAACTTGGATGGTGTCTGCCTACGTGGACATTTCGGCAGATGAAGCCTTTGAGCAAGAGGATTGGTGTTTCAGTGTCCAATGAGCTTGCGTTGGGTTATTTGATGATGGGCGGATGAGATGGACGGACGAGACATGTCATTTGCCTAGGTAGTATGGAGAGTCAAGCACAACTACATCTGCTATCTAGTTTCCCCGGCAATGTGTGAGAAGTCTGGGGTAGAAGGGATGATGGGACAGATAGATATGGAGAGGAGGGATGATTTGCTGCTTCTTCCCCCCTCTTTTGATGCTTTCCAATTATCGGAAGAAATGGTGGATGGGGGGGGGGGGGGGGGGGGGGGGGGATGTTTGCATGGCAGCAATAGCATAAGCGTTCTTCTTGAGGATCTAATTGTGTTTTGTTGTTTTCTCTATGTTGCAGGATGTTGGGATGCCTTTTTCTAGCGTAGGTACGAGGACATACAGATGACTCTAGTAGTGTACGTCTTGTGTGAACCCCTTTGCTTGGAGTACTAGCACCAGCTTGTATATGTGAAGGGTTGTCTTTTAAAGTATCTGGAGTGTTTGATTAGGTAGGCTTACAAGGCAGATAGGGAGGAAGCTATGAGAGAGATGATTGGGAGGTTGCGGAGGGGGATTTGTGGCGGCGCCTCGTTTTGAAGGGGGGGATGGGATTTTGGGGATTGATTGATTGTTCTGGCGGTGAGCGTGCTTGGAGTGGCTTTGCTTTGAGGGAATTGATTCATTAGATTGGGGATTTCGATGGCTTCTGAGGAAGTTCTGCTTGATTTATTTATTTATTTTATTTTATTTTTTTTTTTTTGGGGAATTCTTGTCTTGCAGTTGATATGTGTAGGGTAACTGTTGCCATGAGAGTAAGGAGGAGGAAGTGTGAGGTAGCCGATCTGGGTGGGAATCCATTCGCAGAAGAGACAAGGGATGGATAATACCTCCATGCCAACAAATCAGCATGGTCCTCCCGGGGAAAAGCAAAACCCCAGGTCTGTCTCGCCAGTTCTGCAGCCCCATATACATACGTACATAGATACTAGGACCCAGACAACAAGATCTGAATGGTCGAAAAAAAGAAGCACCCTGGATGTCTGTCCTGCGTGTGCTCCTGTACAAGTACCGTATCGCATTGCGAGGTGTGTGTGGATTACATGTATGTATGTACAGTACCTCTGCCATCCCGCATACAACCGTCCTTGGTCGAAAAGGCGTCTCGTGGACAGATTTTGTGCTCACCGCCATGGGGGATGTCTGTTTCGTGGGGGGAGGAAAAGATGTCATTGGGTGAAAATGGAGGGCTTCTGTTTTCTTACTGGCTTCTTTTGGGGAAGGGAGTTGGATTTCATTGGGCGACTTTTATAATCCATATGATGATGCTGTTACTAGGTAGTATGTAGTACTAGAATCAAGGCGCGGCGTGGAATGGGGTGATGCGGGTTTTTTTATGTGTGAAGAAGGGATTGGGTGGCTTTTGATGGGGATGAGTTGTGAGAGGGGGGGACTGGAGTTGTGATTTTTGGCCTATCAAGTGGTGGTTTGCAGGAAGAGAAGGATGTTAGTGGTAGGTTATTGAGATGCTGTTATGGGAGGCATAGAGAAGAGATTTTGCGATAAGTGACGGGGCATCAATGCCCGTGATCTGCTCGCTCATCAGGTCTCATGGTCCGCGTTTGGCGCGCCTAGACCAATGGGTGGCGAGCATTGTGGCTGCGCGAGGATTGATGGAACATGGACAATATGTAGGAAGGCTTTTGCAGCGTCAAGACAAAGTGTGATATTGTGTGTGTGCACTGATGCGGAACATGCGGAGAAGAAGTCATGGAAGAAGTATAGACAAGGAAGGGAGAGGCGCTGACTTGATACTGTGACGAAGCAATCCCGAGCATTGAACAGGAATCATGCTGGATGACTTGACTCTTTGCTATACGATTCCTCCATCGGTCTTGGAATCACTGCTCTCGTTGCTCGTCCTGAAAAGTGTTAGACCATGGACCCTACATAACTGCGCCTCTGTCTCGTTTCTTGTGAGAATTCTTTGGCCCGGCCAGTCCGGCTCGTGGAACGTGAGAGTGCAACCGCAACAGAGCAGAGAGCACGTTTTCCGTCACGCAGCGCCTTTGGCAGGTCCATGTCTAGCATTAGGTAGTATTAGTGACCCAGCACAAAGAAGGCGTGTGATGATGACGATGTCGTTGTCCGTTGACACCTCTATCAACAGGTTGAGAATCCTCGGCGCGGTAACAGCTCCGTTTGGAGTACGTAGCATCGTGATTGACAGCTTCCCGCGGCATACCGTATATCTCAGCTCCATGTATGTAGAGGATACCAGCATGCTGCTCCGCCATCATGCGATTCCACCTCCTAGCCAAGCACACCTAGATCTCGTCGACTTCTCTCACGGTATGTACGAGCACGATACAAGTACAAGCATCGTAGCTTGCGCCAATGACGCCGCAGCAACAAGCGCCGGCACCAATCTCGTTGAACCACCACATGGCACTCGAGACGGACCGCTCCCTTGCCAACCATCCACTGTGGCGAAAAACAGAAAACACGCCGGCTCTGTTTCTTCCCCCCCTCGAGCTTTTCTCCTCCACGTGGTCACAGGACGGGGAGGGATTGTCGCTGTTCCAAGTTTGATAATAATACCTTCCATTCACACAATGGGGGACACGAGGGGCAGAAAAAAAGAGTCAGATGTTTACGATTCGGTATGGGTGGCCTTTGGGTGGTTAATGGCTCACCTTGCAAAGTGCATACATACAGCTGCTGCTGTTGCATTTGCGTGGTATGTATCAAGCATCGCAGCTGTAGAGGCTGATCGATGATGAGGTGACGCTGACGATTGTTCGCATCCGTTGATCCTGGAGGAGGGGGCTTGAATCTTGACTGGTGCCCTGCTTGCTTCCATCACAGCCTGGGCGCCGTCAAGTGACGACGATCCCCCCTCCCTCCATCCCTCGAAAGCTCCCGAGATCAGCTCAAGCTGTCCACTCACAAAGCAGCATCCATTGCTTCCGAGCTCATACCTAGCCATTCGACATGAGCGTACCTACTCGTGCTGTAGCTCCCCCAAGCTAGGTAGCTTCACTGCCCTTGTTCCTCTACAAAAGCTACATTGACTTTTCAACGCCATCGGGTTGAGCTGGTGTGATTGTGATGATCCAACACAAGGGACGGGAGCTTTACCCGTACGAGCAGCATAAGAAGCTCAGCTCAGCTGGCGGGCAAGCCAAGCGCGCCCAACAAGCCTCCTTTGTTCACCTCACATGAGCCTTCCGGGATCCCTGCCGGGCGTCCAAGATCCTCGCCATTGTCTTGATTTACCCTCCTTGCCGCAATAGCAATTGCAATGCTTTCATGCTAGTAATACTGCTAGTTGTACGGATACAGTTGATAGCTCCAGCAGGTCGAAAACCGCTCACTGCCAACGTGGACCGTCCAATAGCTTCGAGAAGGCCGCCATGGCGCCTCTGCCGTCTGTGTTAGTAGTGTCTGTGATGGGCTAAAATAAGAGACGGCCGCCAGCGGATCATCCGCTGTCCTCCCGGACGGTTTCTTCATGGGCGTTGGACAGACAAGACGGCTGGGGGGGGGGGGGGGAAAGCACTCTGTTGGGCCTCTGCTGTACCTTTGTTACCTACCTGGTATTTATTATCAACTGAAGAGCTCGCAATGTATCACCCTACGTTCCAGCACGCAGCATCATGACCACAACGCTCTGAAGTACATGTAATGTAAGCAGACCCCAGCTCAGGTATCACAATGAGAGCCATCCCTGGTCATTTGCGCGCAA